TTTTTTTTTTCCTGTTAATTTTGTTTCCAAATGAATTAGAATTGAGTTTCTTGTTAATCCTATGCAGTGAAAATGAGAGGAAAGAACCAAACCGACGAGAAAACTCTCCCATCCAATCCAGAAACAGCGTATACACGTGAAACATGGGGCGTGGACGTTTCGGTATTTCCTTCTAGAAGATCTCGTCATTTATTCTAGAAGACTGGATACAATGTATCAACATCAATATTGAATCGGCCAACCCTCTGTGTTCCCTTCTAGAAAAGAAAAGGCACATGATAGCCATCTCTTTCAATACCATCAATTTCATAATCCCCTCTTTTCTTGCTTTAGAATAAAAAACAGAAATCTTCAAATACAATATCCCAACTTGTCAAGACATCAAACGGAGATTTTTCAGTGTCAAACATAGCAGCCTACTACGTATTTCAAATTCTTTAGTCTTTACATGTCATGATTAAACATCACCTATTTAAAGAGATTTTCATTTCTTAAGACTTAAAAGTCATCGGGTTAACTCTGCTGACAAGATGAATGTGAAGAATATGGTTGATGTCTCATCTTTCTTTCTCTTTGAGGCCACCGGAGACTCTGAGGCGGGTGTTTCTGATCCTGGAATGCCTGTTGTTTACCATTCAGATGAGGATGATGGTGATGAAGATGCAGAATCTTGTATCTGTGATGGTTCGGATCTTCCTGTGGTGAATAAGATCTATGGGGGTGATCATGCTCTCCGAGGATGCGATGCAGAGGAGGAAGATGACGAGGAGGAGGAGAATGGGGAGGTGGTGGAGCAGGAAGAGGTTCAAGGGTGTCAAAAATGGAGGAGTGATCAACGGATAGGATCACCGGAGGAGCAAAAATCAACGGTTTCTGTTGATTCAAAGAAAACGATGAATGAAAGAGAAAGAAGCAAGCTCTTTTGGGAAACATGCTTGGCTTCTTGACTCTGGCTCTGTTTTTCAAGTCATGACTGATTTTCTTCTTACTTTCCTTTCTAATCTGAGAATTTTCCATATATTACTGTCTGAGCGTCTCCAATTGTACAGACAATCACAGTTTATATGATACAGAAGTTGATTTCTAATGGGTTATTTTTCTCTGTTCTCTTGTTTATTTCCCAAGATGAATTCCACCATACTGTAAATGGGAGAAGCGTATTTGGAAAATGACAATGATTCGTTAACAATGTTTATTTACAGGCAAAATTTTTACATCTATGTGATATCAAACTCACTCATATCTAATGGAGTGAAAAAGTCATTAAAATTGATCATGGGAAGTTTAAATAATTGGTTGTTAATGAACGATCATCAATGAATTCTGTTATAGAATTTGTTATTAATAGACGTTGTAAACAGATAATTTTTATTTTAGGAAATATTATAAGTATGCTTTAAAGATTTACTCGATAATTACAAAAAAATTTATTTATTTTCATATATTTCATTTGGTTAGGATGTGGCTTTAAGTTTTTAGTTTTGGTTTCAAAAATTTTAAAACTTTACAATAAAATTAGATAATTTTATAAATTAATTAATTATGAAGCTTTTAATATTTATTTTAAAATTTTATATCTAATATGTTACTAATTTTAATTTTTAATTTTAGTTATTAATTATTAATTTTAATTGTTTAAATTTTAAAAACCCAAACAATAAACCAAAAACCACAATCATACTAAAGGAAACCTTTAATTCCTTACTTTTCTATTAAGCAAGATTGCATGTCGGAACTTAAAAACATTATTTTATCAAAAAAAAAAAAAAAAAATTCCAATATGGCAACCATTAGAGAACACCATAAATGACAACACATGCATTTAGTCACTTACCCCATAACAAATGGGATATAACTTCTGTTTACAGGAACAACCTCTGTTCTAGAAATCAAGCAAACAAAGCAACTACAGCTTTAATCTAAAGCTGCATAGATTGACGTATGAGACTGGACTAATGGCAATGACTAGCTCCAATCTTCAACAAGTCTAAGGTTAGAAATGATCTATGACAACCAAGACGACGTACAGAACAAGCACAAGTTCAGCCCTTGCTGAACAATGACACAAGGCATAATCTGCCAAAGGCAAACACTCCTACCCTACTAGTTTCAATCAGATCAAAAGATGGTATCGATGTACAGAAGCAACTACGATTGTGGCAGAGGGTGAAACCAAATGCAAGTAGTCTATCAACGATGTGAGATTTTGAGACACTAGTCAGAGAGCAAGAGTGGGCGGATACAAGTCTTTTGGAACAATGGGCGGATATAAGTCTCTTGGAGCAATGGACTCCACTAATTTGTCTACCATCTCCATATCGTTGTTGTTTCCACCTCTTTTCGACAGGTTCTTCATAGGAAGAACATGATTCTGAGTGTTTGGGCCATGGCTTGCCCCTGAGTCTTCTCCATATCTTGTACTTAAACCATAGTTCTCATTCTTGTTCTCTATGAGTGAAATGCCAGATTCAACATTGAATGCTGAAGAACTTCTGGGGCTTGCCTGATTTATCTGCTGTTGCTCACCAGATGATACCTCCGGGAAACTATTTGTAACATTCTTACTGTCATCAAGCTGCCTCAAGAAGCATTCTTCCATCTCCCCTACTGACTCAACTTCATCATCATCTTCACTAATGTTGCAGTAACGGGCATGGTCATGATCGGGTGTGGGGCCTCTCAACTCACAGCTGGTATCCATTTCTTGCTGGCTATCAAACTCTTCATCTGTTTGTTCATCAGAGAGATGTGATGACATAGGTGAACATCCTCCACTTGCAGTCTCTTCACGCTCCCTTAACGTTTTGATGATCAAGGTCTTGAGCAAGTTCATAACTTGGACAGCATGCATCAATGCCGTTAATGGATCAGACATCTGCTCAATTAAAGGTGTGAATGAATTGCTTTAGTTGTATCAAACCATATCAATAACTTAAAGTTGAATGTATGTTTTTGATTTTTAGGATTTAAATTAATCTACTGTGGTTTTTGTTTTCTGTGGGCGAGAACTATTCCAAGATTTGGATACTTAAAATGCATACCTGAGTCATATTTGGAGCAAAAACCATGGCAATATTTCTTGCATTCATTTTGTTCGATTCCTCTTCCTCTACAACATCAGCCATAAGGTCAACTGCCCAATTCAGCAGTGCAGCTTCTGTAGGCTTAAGCTGCTTCACAAGCTCAACAGATTCCTCTTCTGTATTGCATTGAAGAACCTCTTCTGGTGAAAGGCCATCCAGCACACCTGAAGGAAGCTCCCGAAACCAGGCTTTTATAAGGCCTGCAAGACAATGGACGTCAATGTTATCTGGAACAATGCCCCTGTTGAGCTGGTCCCTTACATGCTCCTCTTGGCTATTCTCCGGATTTATCCTAAAAATCCCTTCTGCCTACAGGATGACACAAAAAGAGGGAACTCAATTAGAATCTAAATCAGAAATTCAGAATAAGATAAATATGTAACTACACAAGGACATGAGACAATGTGTTTAAAAATCAACACCTTTAGGCCTCCTTGTGCGTATAATCGCTCTTGCATCAGCAATAGAATAGTAGGGACACTATTTCCTTTAGAATCATAAGAGCACTGCATTGATTCTGCAGAGACACCAAACACACTAGCACTGCAAAATAGACAACTGCTAGTTAGAACCAAATCAAAACTCAAACCATGGCAAAATAAAAAAGTATAAGAAAAAATAACAAGTTCACTAAAAACAAAATATTGAAAGGCCAAATAATGGACCTTGTTCATAGGAATTACTCCTGTAAATCAGCAAAAGCAGCTTCACTACAACTACAACTATTTTGGAAATAAAACAGTTCTCTTCTTTCTCATTTCAATGGGACTCCACTGAATTAAGTATGACAGAACTGATGAAAGTTAACACCTTTTACCTGCTATAGACACACTAAACAAAAGGGCTTATTTAGGGTTTTCAAAGAGTAAAAATTCATATTCCTCTTCATCCTTCAAACCACTTCAAATTAAGCACCCTAAATTCGAAAACATCTCGATTTCAGCTTGAATGCAGCTAAAAATCTCACTGCTAAAACTCATTTTAGTAACTGAAATAGCTCCATTTCTAGTCTATCATCTCAGATCTAAAGTACCGACAAAAGCAGCAACTTTTCAAGACAAATTTGAAAACTTTAAAACACCCACATTAAAAAATTACAACTACAAGTTCAGAGCAGTAGCAGAAGCAGTACCTAGCACTGGGAACTCGACATGGGATCTCCACTTCGAACTCAACAGGAAGACCCAGAAACCCATTGAACCGATCAAACGTGACATGGGTTAAATGCCGGACGTTGGTAGGCCAGCCGATTTCCATGTGGTGAACGGTGGAAATCCCATCATGGTCCTGTCTATCTACACGGCAAGAAACCATAGATTTCCTCAATGCAGCCAAGAAAACCTCCAAAATGGATACCTGGTTCTGCTCTTCTTCACTCTTCCTGTCTCCTTTGGTCCTCTTACTATTTCCACCGCCAGCGCAGCCCCCTCCCCTGGTCACCATTACCAGACCCGTCATTTGAATTTCCCTGGTAGAACTGACCCAGTGTTTTGTGTCCTGAAGTAATTAATGCCTTGTTGTCCCCTTGTCTCCAACGCAAGATGGGGTGGAGGAAGGGATGAGAGTTGAGAGGCTTAGACTTGGAGGCTGAATTTGAGTGTGTTGTGTAGCATCGAAGTTTTTTGTTTCGAAGGAAGGTGTTTGAAGTTGGGAGCTCTGAAGTTCAAACGTCCACTCGTTTCAAAACTCTTAGGTGGACTTACTTTATCTACAGTAACTCAAGTCATTTGGCCTTTAAGTTGGATGAAAATAACTACTCATGCCATTTCAAGTTTTCAATTACTGAACTATTTTATTTTATGAAATTTATTACAAATCAGATTTGTTGAATAATACAGCAGCCTCACAACAACCTATAAATGAATATGTACGAGAGGTTGGTACTGTCTTTTCCGGCTTAATTCAAAAAATCATCTACTAACTTTCAGTTTAATTTTAGTTTAGTCTAGAAAGTTTGTTTCATTTCTAAATGATCTAGAAACTTTGAAAAATATTTCAAATTAGTCTACCGAGTACGTTAGATTGCCGTTAGATTTGAAGAAAGAGTAGTCTTTTGAGTTTTAAAAAAGTGACACTTAAATCCTAATAAAATATGATGAATCAAAAAACAGTTTATAGAGATAGATTGTAATTCAGACAGAGAAATTCAGTAAGTTCAGAATCAGAAATTTTAAGAGTAAGTCTGTTTTATAGGACAGACTGTGTACAATCTGTTTTATAAAATTATTTAAATGTTCATACAAAAATAATATAAAAATAAAATTAAAGGTATTTAAATAATTTTACAGGGTGGATTGAAAGCAGTCTGCTCTGTAAAACAATTTTCTGAAAAACACATTTAGCAAAAGAAGAATAAAAACTATTTTTACTATGAATATAAATTTAAGGACTAAAAGATTAAAAGAAACATAGTTAGAGTACTAAGGTTTAAGAAGATTTTTTTTAGGATTTCTGTTAATTTTAACTGCCTAGATGAAATTGAAATAAATGTGAAAGATAATAGATAGAATTGAAACAATTCAAAGATAATAGATAAAATTGAAATTAAACTGAAAGTTAGTAGATGATTTTTTGAATTAAGCCGTCTTTTCCTTACAGGAGTTTAGATAGTTTTTTAGGTCACAGATTATTTTAGGTTCACCACTTTCGTTTCGTCTTATAAGAGGTGAAAACATCAAGCTGGATTAATGTGACTACAATTTTTTTAGGGGCATAGAATAAGATTAATGTTTTTTACTTTTGTATTAAAAATGTGAATGTTTAATATAAATTATGAATGTCGCAAGTCTATTTTACATTGGCTTATTTTAAATTACAATTAAAGTTTGTTAAATTAGTCAAAAAAATAAGTTATCTTTTTAGATTTTATTTAATGTAAAAGGTAACAATTATTGGTCTTATTATGTGGCCCTAATGCACAAAATATAAAAATCGATGTGATAATATTCAGCCATATAAAATGCTAATGAGGATTGTAAATTATAACTTGTTTTATATGAATTAGGATGAATTTATGTATAAATTTTACACATAACTCTTACTTCCTATTTAATTTAAAAGAAAGGAAAGGGAGGATTAAAACAAAAGAAATTAAAGCAAAATAAGGAAAACCCCCCTCCATCCCCCTAAAAAAAAATATAAAATCCTTATAAAATGAGTGGAAGGGAAGGGATTGTTTTTTGATTTTGTAAGTATGAATGACAAGGGAAATTAAAAGCAAAACCCACTAAAATGAAGCTGATAAGTTTGATGGAATGAAAATGAATAGGCAAAGCCCGTTTGTTTATCCCTTGAACTCTCCCTATTTTAGCGTGTAAGCCTTCAAATTAAAAAAAAGAAAAGAAAAAGAAAAACGAGCATATGAACCCTCAGAGCCTTTGTTCATAACAAATCAGTTCCTCGTGTTAACAGAACCATTAGTTTTGTTAATTTACCTGACATGGCAGTTAAAAGAAAAGAAAATACAATGTAAAAGGTAGCTAAAAATTATGGAATAATTTCAATTTAATTTCTAAATTAATCAAATTTCAACTAGATTTAATCCTTAAACTATTTTAACAATTTCCTACTTCCAAGCTTCAAATGTCAAATTTAGTGATTGAATTGAAATTATCCCATATTTTTTAGTTGCCTTAACGTTCGTTGTTGGTTACAATCGTCAGATCAACTAAATTAACGTTGATCATTAACACAAGGGGCTGAGTTGCTAAGAACAAAGGCTTTAAGGGCTTATATATGCATTTTTTTTGTTTGAGGGCATTTGTGCCAAAATGAGAAAAGTTTAGAGGCTTAACAAAGAATTTTGCCAAATGAATAATGATAGTGTGAATTTTCCAAGAAAATCCAAGAACATTGAGAGTTGGTGGATCGGAAAAAAGTGAATTCGAATTTTGTAAAATGAGGGACCATTGATGAGAGAAATGACTGCAGTTGGCTCGTCAAATGAGGACAAGTTTGTATTTTCCAATGATCCACAGTGAGTATGTACCCCCTTTTTCATGTCATCCGCGTCGCACGATTAAAGACAGAAATTTGTTCTCATTTTCTTTTTGAGTTTGTCTATTTTAAAAATGTAAATTAAAAATATAATAAATATGTTTTTTTATAATTAATTTATATAAAAAAATAAAATTAAGAATTATTTTAATTTTATT